TCGGTTTTGATGCGAGGATGCACTCATTATGGTTCCGGCAAGGTTAGCATTGCTACATTTCAGAAGCTGGCTCTAAGCACTTTATGGAGATCAGGGCACCTTACCGAGCTCCGAAAGGTTGGACTCCTGGAAAAACTCAAGAGAAGTCAAGAGGGAAGGTCACTGCTGGGGGGAGGGGGGCGTTTCTGAGAAACCCAGATGAGAATGCTATGAGCACAGGCTGTGTCAAACTGCTCAGCAAGGGCTCCCTCCCTCGCTCCTGGTGGAAAGGCCACCGAGCCCCAAACCACATTCCCTCCCTCCCCTGTCATTCTGCAGACGAAGGTCATCCACAGACCACACGTGTGGTGGCTTTGGCAATCAGAAATTAAAAATAAGCTCTGGTTTTTCCAGCCGCCGAAATAATCCCTCACCAAAGCTCAGACTGAGAACCTGAGAACCACAGTCTGGGTGAAGGGATGTCTGCTTTTCAAATGACCTGCTAATTCTTTGCAACCCACAGTAATTTGGTTTCTGTGAACCCACAGAAGCAGGCCCACCGAAAAGGGCCTTGTCTGCTAACCTGGAAGAGTCCTTGTATAAATGAGTCACAGGCAATGGGATCAGTCATGTTTAAGGCTGCCCCATTTTCCTGACATGTGAAAATACACCCTATTTTTATAAGGAGAAAGAAGCAAAGCTGCACTTGCATTGAGAATATGGAATAGGCACCGCGGGTGCATGGCACAGGCTCGGGAGAAGGTGGTGGCATTACGGGACAGCTCTCTAGGCTTTCTGGAGTGGGTCAGAGGGGAGATGGACAGCGAGGGCCATCTGGAGAAACTCTAAGTTGCGTGGGGAATTAATGGCTGAGGGTTCATAGGACAATGAGGGAGCAAAGCTATTCTACTTTCCTGGCTGCAATGCCGTGAAGTACCTGTAGCATGTGGTTAACTCACTTTGGTCCAACACATTCTTTACTCTCACACATTAAAACAACATAAAGGAAACTGTTAGAGACCAGTTGCCTCCACTGACAACTGAGTTATTATTATGGTCCTAGTATGGTCCTTGAATACTTTCCATGTCTTTAAATCCAGATACGGTACATATAGTGAAAAATTTGCAAGCATCCAACATAATCCCCCAGCCCCTTAAAAAAAAAAAGTAACATTATCCTATACACAAAATTACATAAAACCTCACAACATCCTTGGGAGGTAGATATCATTATGACCTTACATTTTTTAATCAAAATATTAACATTATAGTTTCAAATAACAACTCAATCTCAAAGTAAAAGACAGTCCACTATTATGACATTTAGAGGAAACTTGCAGTTTCTCCCACATACAAAGATTTGTTTACCATATTGGTGGCCTGTGGGGTAGACTATATACAGCTTGGATACACAGATGCACAGTCTTGTGTTTATGAGCTCACCCAAGTTTAAAGCCAACATGTCTCTTCTGAGTCCAAAGTGCTTAGAGGCAGCAGTCCCCAACCCCGGTTCACTGATCATTCTCAGAACCGTTCAGTCCTTTAGCCTTAGAGAACAGAGTCCTTTTCCTAGGGTGACCCAGGTCTAGCCTTTGGTTTTAGGTCACAATTGTCTTTATAGGCACTTAAATCCCGTTATTCTGCTTTTCTGAACTCTGCCTACAGAGAGTCTCTGAACTATACTGTCTGAGCACAAAAATAGTTCCCAATTTTTAAAAAGTGATAGATATCTCTGTATCATAAACACAGAGGGAAAGGGGGTGGGGAGGTAGAAGAGGGTAAAGGGGAATAAATGGTGACAGAGAGTTGACTTTGGGTGGTGAACAAACAATACAATATACAGATGGTGTATTGTGGAATTATACACTTGAAATCTATATAATTTTATTATTAAACGTCACCCCCAATAAATTCAATAAAAATCAAAAGAGAGAGATCACTGTACATCTTCTTCTGCACAGCCTGATGCTATGTTCTAGGACAAAATGTTCCTTCTCTTTTTTGACTCTTTGAGTCTTTGTGAAAGAGCTTAGACATGTCTGAGGGCTCAAATCTTGAGTGTCCCTGAGTTTCCAAATCTCCATTAGATACCTGTTCCCAGTGAGATATACTTTAAAAGTTAGAACTTTAAAAGATTTAACATTTGACATTTCCATTATGGTCTTATTGCCTGCCCTGGGATATATATAAAAAATACTGCTTTTCCCCTTAAAACATTTTAAACCTCACATTTAGCAAAGGATAAAAAGAATAGTGATATAGAGGTTATTTGGAAGAACTTTATGTTGATGTGAGTTTTGGTAATACAGTGTTTCAACCAAGTAAAAATTTGTGTTTTTAAAATTTTCTCTTGGCAAAAGAAGTCTGAGGTCATTTTATATCTGGGCCTTCATGAAGGTGGGCCTCCTAACAAAATGTTAAGCATTTAAAAGGTGAGAAGTTTTGTCACTGACAGTCAGAAACTGAGTCAGGACAGCTCAGAGGTAACAAAGCCTAAGATTGGCTAGCTTATCTGTACCAAGGCACGTGTCTTTTTGGTGATGGTGGTGGTGGGCAACAGGGGAGGCACTTCCATTTAGTTCTCTGCTAGTAGGACATACCTAGGCCACAATTAATGAAAAAAACATTTGGGGAGGCAGTTCTTTTCCTTTCCCACCCTCACCCCAATTATGTCATCTTGGCTGCAAGGGAACTTTTCAGGGGGTGGTTGTTTCTCAGATTGTGGCCTCCTAGGTATGTGGTGGGAGGCCTGCTTTATAAGAGGGCTGGTGGGAAATGAAGCAGAGAGACCTACTAGGCTTCTGTCCAGAGGGGCTCAGGCTGAGAAGGTAAATGTGCTGCCTGAAGCTGCTTTAGGACTTCCCTGTCCATCAGGGAAAGATGTGAGTCTCTGGGTATCTTGCTAAGATTCTCCTTCACCCTCTTCCACTATCCCCAGCAGAGGATGGCAGGGGTCATTAGTCAGTAGGAGTGCCTACAGAAGGCAGTGTTTACCTATGTGGTGGTAACTACTACATACCACCTGGTTCAACTCTAAGATTTAAGAATGTGGAGCTTCCACATATAAATTTTATCTGGACTGGAAGTGCCCCCCATCCAGGCTCAGAATGTTACAATGAAAGTGCAGCCTTTGGAAATCATTCAGAAAACCCATTAGTCAGAGGGAAAATGAGGGTCATATAGACAAAAAGCGTCCCTAGGTGGACGGGGTGGGCCTTAGTTTCACCACCTTGGGGTGCAAAAGTTGGTGCCTCCAGGGAAGACTTTCCCAATAATCTGGCAGAAATGCTCGATTTCCCTAACTTTCTTTCCTACTAATCCTTGCTTCCAGATTCTTTCTTTTGTCCCCTGAAGAGTCAACAGGATGTGTGATATTTCAAGAATATAATAAGCAATGAGTATAAGGAAGCTGGCACAGCTTGGAGTCTAGGATTATGGAAACACAGTGATATAGTGAAGACTACACACCAAAACACATCTAGTCTTTTAGCTGAAATCTCCAACGTGTTGGGACTGTTGCCATGGAATTTCACAAAATCTTTTTTCCTGAGACAGACGCCTTGCTACAAAGAGGGGATAAGCCATTTGTGCAGTCAGAGGTGGAGCATTTTAATTACATAAACGAGTCTGAGCCTAGTGCTTACACCCTTTAGAAATATCAAGGCAGATACATAAAACACAAATTTACCAGGAATTTGGGATTCTTGGCTCTGGTAGAAATGTTCATGAAGCTGACTCTTAATTTGTAAATAGGCTCGGTGAAATTGTCCCTGGAAGCAGAATTTATTTTCCCTAACACAAGCTCTTACAAAGGAAAAAATAAAAAAGGCTTTGGCAAGCAGCTGCAGGTGCCAGTTTGTGTGCACACTTTGGGGAAGATCAAAATACCTTCCTGTTTTTTGTTCCTCTCCACCATCCTCTTCACATTCACAACTTGGTGGTTAAAGGAAAAACTTAACAACACTACCATTTTCACATCAAAGATATGTGAAACAGATATTCATATACAGACTCTTCTGCTTAATACTTAATGCTGCATAAATGCTTACTTTTACAAACATTCATGGGTATTTAATACCCATACATTAAAAGCTTTGAAAAATAAGTGGTTAGGGCATAATCACATAAATTTAAAGTTGGAAGAGACCTTAGAGAATGTCTAAATCCAACTCTTATTCAAAAGTTGAGGCAACTTAGTTTTAAGAGTTTAAGTGATTTGCCCAAAGTCCTACAGCTAATTAGGGGCAAATGTGGAATTAGCAAACAGATTCTGTGACCCCTATCCCAGCGTTAATTTTACAATTATAACAGAGCTTTTTCTTGATAGCATGCTTCTCTTACGAGTAAAGATGACTAGAACCATCTGCAGAACTAAGATTAGACATTCAGGAATTTCTGCGGAATACAGTGGCTCCATGTAAAATGAGACAAAAAACAACCTGTCTGACGAAGAGCCTGCCAGTGGAGGTGCCCCCGCCTCACCCCACCATGAAGCTCAGCTCTGACCTAAACAACACTCATGGTGTCTATCCCTGAGTCCTCTCCTGTGGGGAGAGAAAGATGAAGTTATCCTTTTTGGATTGTTTGGTTTTTTTGTTGTTTTTAAATGGTTGGAAAGTTTGCTTTGGGTCTGTACACTAATACTCTATGAAGGAGACAAAGAACTTCAGGTAGGTGGTGGTGTTGCTTTTTCTCCCCTGGTGCTGCTAAACCATTTTCCTCCTCAGAACCCAGCTCTATCCATCTTTTTTTTTTTAAATCCTCACCCGAGGATATTTTTTCCATTGATTTTTATAGAGAGTAGAAATGAGGGAGGGGACAGGAGAATGAGAGAGAGAAAGAGAGAGAGAGAGAGAGAGAGAGAGAGAGAGAGAGATCAATGTGAAAGAGACACATTAATTGGTTGCCTCCTACACACGCCCCTGTTGGGGCTGGGAGTCGAACCTGTAACCCAGGTATGTGCCTTTGACCAGGAATTGAACCCAAGACCCTTTGATCCTTTGGTGTATGGGCTGACCCTCTAACCACTGAGATACTGGCCAAGGCCCAGCTCTGCCCATCTTGATCACAGGAAATGGATGCCATAGCCCACAGTGGACAACTTCCTGGAGTTTCCATGACAGTCTATATTGAAAACCATCAGTTTTTCTGTGTAGGATTTCTCCTGTAGATGACTTCTTTAACCCAAAGCAGCTTTTAATTGGAGACGGAGGGTAAAGAGTAGAAGCAGATGTATTATCAAATGACTTCGGGTTGTGTTTTTTTTTTTGCTTATGTGATAAGAAAAGGATCTGATGTTTCAAGACTGAGTCTTCAGTTACTGATAACAGATAGTTATTTTGTGGATAGTCTTTTCCATACTATTAGACTCTAATTGGGATGGGGAGATTAGATGCTAACTCTCCGCCTTTTATTCAATGCAGAAGGACAAGACTTCCCGTAAGGTCACTGGCCAGCTCTTCTTCTGTGTGGACCTGGGCTCATGGCCTTTTGGCACTCTTGGCTGACAAGAGCGTTTCATGCAGCACTATGGGGGGACTCTTCCAATTGGCAACAAACTCCATGGTATGCCTGTCCTATTGATGCAGAAGAAAGTGACCAAATACTTCTCTGGTTTTTAAATATCATAAAATTCAAGTCCCTGATGGGAAAACAAAGGTTTCACAAAAGTAGTAACATTGGCGTTATCTGCAAACAACTTCTGAATGGAGACAGTGTTTCTCTGTTGCCCACGTGAGCATGACCCTCTGGATACTAAAAATGGTACGAAAAAGAGTTTGGAACTGAGTTTGTTTTGAGAGTGATTTGTTAGGTAGGGGTATCGGTTTTTAAAAACAATGTGGAATGCTCAGGCGTGAATCATCTCCGGGGCCAGATGTTCACTTCAGCATGGCTCTGTGTTCTCCTCGGGCTATATGAGACGAAAACTCATACCGATCATGGCTTCGATACCCACACATGTTACATTCAAAAGGATCACGAAAGCCGTGGCAACCCATGTGAATGGTGAACATCACATAATCCAGAAAGAGGACTCGACAGTGGTCACACCGATACACATCCATCATCTCCCCTTCTTTGTTGATCACTTTGATGGAGTCTCGTGGGCAGATGGGTGGGGGCTTGAGGAGTTCATAAGAGCGGGGTATCTCTTTCAGAAGTGGTATCCCATTGCGGGCCCGAGGAGGGACCAGGTGATTTTGCTGGTAGATGTGATTCTGGCGTTCTTCATGGTTGCTGTCAGTGTCTGTGGAGTCATGGCCACTATTGTTGGGGGAGAGGCCTCTTTCAGAAGGTAGGCTCTTCTCTGGCAGGTGGATCTGTTTCTTTTCCAGGTCCTGCACAGCACCATTCGGCATCTCTGCACGGGTAAGGGCTATGGGATATATGCTGCTGATAACTGGGACCATCTCCGAGGTGGGAGCAGGCGGCGTCTGGACTAAGGGGCGCAGTGCCTCGGCACCAAGATAGCTGATGGCATTATTGATGGCTTGGTCCATCATCCGGGTTTGTATTATCTCACTCTCTTTCTCGTACATATAGCTGGGATTATAGTTGACATCAAAGCAGTGGCGCTTCTCACCTAGAACAAGTAAAAAGAATGAATTACAAAAGGAAAAACACAAAGGCAGAGCAATTATAAAATGATTTTCCAGAGTCCTTGAAAAGAGAGAAAGGACATGTTGCCTGCAGGTACACCCAACCCATGCAGAATGGTTCCATACGGTGCTGAAGTCTCAGGGGACAGGGGTTGACAGCACACGTTAGGGCAGTCCACATAAATTAGGTTAGCAGGCAAAAGGGGGAGTCAGAGATGTCATTACGTTGAAACTACAATGTGAGTTGTTTCCACTGCTCTTGTCAGAGGGAAACTCTGGAGGAAATGAAGCGAGAGAACATGAGGACAAGGTTTAGTGGGGGCTCCTTGTGCAGGGGCACGGGGGCATCTGCACTTCTGTGCATGAACTACTAAGACACAGTCAATTCCCTAACTTTTATTTTGCTTGTTATTTTCTCCTGGTAACACTAAGGGAGCCAGGGGGATGGACGTATTGCCAAAAGTGGGGATGATCTATGACTGGCCTGCAGCTTTTAAAATAGCTACAGAGGTAGAAATAATAGCTCCAGAAACTCCCCACTCCCTATACTTGCCACTCCCCAAACACATCAGTCACCAGACAGAGATTTAAGTAAAAGAGCTTCAAATGTAGAAAGTTTTAGAAAAGCTTTCTTGATGAAAGATCATGATCTTTGTCCCTTTCATAAAGTGTGTGATTCTTTTGCTTAAAAAAAGGTATCACTAATACATATGTGATCATTAGGACCTATCTCACACTTAACTGAAAAAATTATTTGTGGTCACCCTTTCCTACTTCTCATGTCAAACTGCTGAGAGATTTTGAAAACAGAGTTTAGCCACCTTTAGGGCGTGTGGGTGTTGTGTGTTAGAAAACCAAGGCTCTCTGGCCACAGGAAAGGCAGGAGCGGGGCCTACAGAGATGACAGATGTGCTCAGTGGTGAGTGGCAGGTCGAAGGGAGAGAAGCGGGAAAGATGTGTCAAGAGCTGGAAGTGGGCATAAATGTGATGCTTTTTCATTCTGTAGACATTGGGTTCTGGAGAGATTTGCTGAACCATATCCTCTCTTCTGTAACATTTCCTAGGCATGCTGTGGTTCCAAAATTTGTCACCACCAGACAGTAAAGGGTTCAACAATGAAAAGCCAATATAAGAAAACAAAAGGATTGGAAGAACAAGTTCCTTTTCTTGAGATCTTTCCAACCTAATAGGAGAGAAATAAGATCTGTATATATGGAACTGGAGAAAAATGCTAAAAGTTGTGAAAGGGATGTGCCCTATGGAGGCCTTTGATTTTATTCTAAATGCCATGTTTGAAGCATTTAAGCAGGAGAGTAAAGTGTCTTCTGTAAAAAGAATTATAAGGCAAGGTGGTTTGGTACAAATCATTTACTTAAGTGTTAAATGAATGCAAACATTTCAGGAATACTTGGGGTAGGGAAATCATTCTTGGATAACCTAAATTTTGAGAAGAGTCTTGAAATGGTAGGATTTTCATTTTTTTCATAGAGGTAGACGGGACATCCTAATTGAGGGAGAAGCATGAATGAAGTTAGAAAAGGGGGTCTACAGCAGGGAAGACTTAAAGTCTGGATATAGCTAATATCAGACGTATGAAATAAAGTATTTCTCAAGCTTCACTTAATCCTTCACATTCTGCAATATTCACACACTAGGGTGGTGTGGTGGTTGACAGCTTGAACACTAGAGTCACATGGACTGGATTTGATGCTGGCTCATCAGTTACTAGTTGCATGACCTTGGGCAAGTTACTTAACCTCTATGGCTCCAAGTCCTCTTGTAAAATGGGGATAATAATCACATCTACCTCGAAGACTCCCTGGTAAGCATTTAGAACAGAACCTGGCACACAGAAAATACTTGGTAAACATCAGGGTTTTTTTGTTTTGTTTGAATCAGTTTCCTTTCTTTCTTCTGTTAAAATAAATCAGTTTTTTAAGAAAACTATGTCACTAACATACATGGAAAACCAGAATCACTTGCCACAAAAAGAAGGTAACTATGAAAAATAAAGATGATGAAACAGAGTAATCAATTCAATTTTGATCAGACTCTACTGTGAGTACTTGAGACAAAGATCCACCCTGTCTTTGTTCAAAACAGAAATCACCAAGAGTGTTCAACGACTAGCATTAAAATAAGTTTCAATCTTTCTTCTTGATATAATCAGGGAGACTGAAAAAGAACTAAAAAGAAAATAAATTTCTTGCCACATGGATCAAGGTTTTTAAAAGGCTGTGGGCCTCCTGGCACTTTGTATCCCACATTTTGGGAGATACTGAAAAAAGACAACACATGGTGGGACCACATGATGGGCATTCTGAATGGTCAACCATAAGGTTCGGATTTGAATAAACAGCAAACCGAGTCATGCCCTTGAGCAAGGGAGGCTTGTGGTCGAAATGTTGTTTTCAGGATATTAATGTAACAGCAATGTGTAAGATGAACCAGAACATAGAGAACTGGAGCCAGAAAGACCAGCTAAAAGATTTAATGTAATCAAATGGATTTGTCCCGCATCCCCACTACCTTAAGGCCAACCTGATAGACTTTAGACAAATACCTGAGAGAAAAAATATGCAAAGAAAAACATCCTGCCTTGGCAACTCAACAAAAGGCAACAGAAAAGCAGACATTTGCTTTCTTATTTTCAGCTTCCAGATCAGATGTATCTTTGATCAAGGCTGTTTGGAAGAATGAGACTGACAACAGGAAAGCCAGCTAAGGTCACAATTGTTCATTCCCCTAAGAGTGACACAGAAGTGATGAACTTTGGTTTCTTGGCTTTTTCAAGGTTATTGATGATTTTCCAGTGTGGCTAGCTCACTCAACTCCCCATTCCAGGGGTCCCTGAGAATCTTTTTATCTTTTTTCCAAACAAAGAGGCTCCATAAATTTTCTAGGGTGGGGCAGGTACAACACAAACTCTGCTTTTATCCTTTCTCCCAAGAGTTGGTTATACTTCATTAGGCCTACAATTTCACAATCTATACCACCTGCAGCACATGTCAGAGAACAGCTGAGTGCTAAAGTTGTAAGAGGCAAAACATTAAGAGGAAAATGAACCCCTGGATGAGTGGAAATAGGTGACTGTGTTCTGCGGTTAACGCAGACCATTGTTCATTGTGAAGAGGATGGGAGAGCCTCAGATCTTCACGTGCACGCACCCTGCAGTCATCAGATCCCCTCATCTCTGGGTTACGGTAACTTGAGTCGTGCAGATGATTATCAGTCACCTGTAGACTCGATGACTCAATGTGTATGAAACTCAGAAGGGGTAAGCTACAGTAATTGAAAAGCCAACAGCTCACGTTTCTTTAGTAACACACTCATAAAAAAGGTTAGTCAAACCACAACAGTGTAACTGCTCCCAAACCTGCACGGAGCCTCTAGTCCAGCTTCTAGTCAAAATCATACCACACCTTTGAATGACTAATGATAGCAGCTTTAGGCTGAATTAGAGGTTTTGCTTCCAATGAAAATACAAATGGCAACAACAAGTCCTAAGTTTAGAAACCAAGGCTGCTTGGCTGGGCCATTCCCTACCGTTGATTCTTTTTTAAAATATATTTTTATTGATTTCAGAGAGGAAGGGAGAAGGACAGAGAGATGGAAACATCAATGATGAGAATCATTGATTGGCTGCTCCTGCACACCCCCTAATGGGAATGGAGCCTGCCCTTGAATAGAATCGAACCCAGGACCCTTCAGTTTGCGGGCCAACGCTCTAGTCACTGAGCCAAACCAGCTAGGGCAGTGGTTCTCAACCTCCTGGCCCTTTAAATACAGTTCTTCATGTTGTGACTCAACCATAAAATTATTTTTGTTGCTACTTCATAACTGTAATGTTGCTATTGTTATAAATTGTAATGTAAATATCTGATATGCAGGATGGTCTTAGGCGACCCCTGTGAAAGGGTCGTTCGACCGCCAAATGGGTCGCGACCCACAGGTTGAGAACCGCTGAGCTAGGGCCTGTAATTATTTTTAAAGGTGTTGATCCCTAATATTTAGGCTTTGGTAACACTACTAGGCAACCACCTGTCCTGAATTGCTGCAATGTGGCCAGGGTATATGATTGTTGGCTTCTAAGTGCCAACTTCAAAGTATAGAATCACAGCCTAAAGCTAAAAGGGACCTTCACTGAGCATGTGGATTCCATCCTCTGCCTTTAGGGTCAAGGTTACAAGACCTACCACCCTAATCTGTTTACTTCTGGTCTTTATAATGCACAGTACCCAGCACTGTGCCTTACATTGTAATACTAATAAGAATAGTTACTATTTATTGAGCCTCTACTATATATCCAGTGCTGTCCTAGGTACTTTACATATTGCCTCATTTTACCTAAGATGAATTATCATCTCTTAGACATATGAAGAACCTAAAGTGCAAACAGGTTGATTAACTTGTCGAGGTTGCTCAGTTGGTAAAATGGAGAACCAGGATGCAATCCCAGTATGTGTTTCAGCATTAACTGCTGTTTCCTGGTCGCTACCTTGCCCAAGGTGGCACAATCCCAGCACTGCTTTGTTCTCTAAGGACCAGCACCATGCATTCAAGAAATATCTATGATGCAGAATTGTGATGTCTGCAAGGTGTTCAATGGAGTGTCTGGCATATGTAAGAACTCAATAAATGATAGATCTATCATCATCATCACCATCACACCATTTTAGGAGCTTTGAGGAATACACACATAATTGCAATCCATAGGAGATGCAGCATTTACACAGTTTCTTACAAATCAATATCCTTAATACTATGTGGTGAAACCAAGTATAGAGTAGCCAAGAGAGTGAAGAGAGAAAAGTACAGACCACTTCTCAAATATGCCACACATAACACGGCACAAATATCAATCTATTCTTTTCTTTAAAGTTTTCTTGTAATGGGAGGTGGTGGTAGTGATGGGAGGTGGTGGTAGGGAGGTAGTGGAGACAGACATATATATAACATAAAGCAGACGGTTAACCTTGCCTTG